CCTTTTATATCCAACTCTGTTTAACCCCTAGTGTATGAAGACGTTGGTAATCTTTCAATGTAGATTCCACCCCCAAGATAACAACCGTTCACCTGTTCGGTATCATTGTAAATTAAAATGCCGAAAATTAATTTTGTTTAATCTCGAATATGTAGATCCAAATCTAAATTAACAGAAGGAATTAAAGAATAAGCACCATGATACATATATTTAGCTCGAGGATATTATAACAGAGATTATAATTTGGACGTTAAATATTTCGTAGCCAACGATATAGTAAATTAAAGCGTATAACTTCTGTTGTTTTTTCTTCTGGAAACGCCCACAGCTTTCTTCAAAATTAAGGTTAGACCAAAATTATACGAGTTTTGATAATATCTACATTTGCTATATAGACATTAAAAAGTTTTAGCTGGTCAGAAATACTTTAGAATAAAGATAAGTATAAAAGCAATGTGAGACAATTTTTATGTAAGCTACAAAGTGAAGCTTTTTGAATGGGAAGAATGTACACTTGTTAAAAATTAGTAATTGCTCCAAAGCTTTAGAATTGACTAGTTAGTTAAATGGCTACACCTTACGGAGTGAAAAAAGAAGAGCAGATAACGAGGCACAGACAGTGCCTGATATGAAAAAAGGTCTTAAAAGGATTAAAATAACGGATTCGCAACATTTCAAAAGATTCAACTATCCACTCGGACATCAGTAATTGGAAAACTCGTGTCGGTTTAGAACGTCCTTCTCCGTTGTCCGACAACTAATTTCCATCCTCTTCTATCGTGGCAATCTTCCGTTGATAGATTCCGTTCGCTCATTGACTTTTTTATGTTTTGCTGCCACTCTAGTTTGGGTCTTCCTCGCTTTCTATTCCCTATTGGGGTCCAGTTCGGTATTTTTTTGGGCCATCTAGTACTTTGCATTCACTCTACGTGTCTGTACCAGGTAAGTTGTTTCTTTTCGATATCCTGAATTATCGTACCTTCTATTCCCATTCTTAGACTTTCGATAACGTTCTCATAGATTTCATAAAAGGTGCATTCTTCCGCATTTGATAGTTTGCTGTTAAGGCGCCTCTGATAAAGAAATACCGTGCTTTCATCGTTAAAACTTTGAAAATTATACTTTGTTGTACACATTTCGTCGGTGAGTACGGAATCGTTGTTATGTTCATCTTTGGCCTGATTTGTTCTTTTAAATTTTATTCTTACTTTGGCTCTTACTAAAAAATGATCTGATCCGCAAGTGAGTCCTCTCAACACTCTTACGTCGTTCATCTCTATATTTGTTTCTTGTTTACTTATCACATAATCAATGATGGATTTTAGGTTGCGGGTATTCTGTGTCCATGTGTAGCGGTGAATATCTTTGTGTTTAAAGAATCCATTGTTTATTCTGAGATTGTGGGTTTCGCACATAGAACACGCAGTATACCGAAAACCCACACTTACCGACAGATATCTACATGCCAAATCACATCACCATACTGAACAATTAAATTCAGTAATTAAAACCCTAATGACACGATCCTAAAGACTGCCTCTATATTCATATTAGGCATTATTACACAATTAAGGCATATTTACCACCTAGATGAAAATAACCACCACAAAGCGATCAGTGGTTAATATTAATATAACCCAAGATAACAGCTTATGGAGAAATGTAAGGACAATCCCACATAAGGATTAATAAAGCAAACAATGATTGTAGCAAGAGACAGTTTAATATCTTTATCCTTTCTCCTTTGTTGTTTTTATATTATATAGTTTTTTTATATTATGTACAGGTTTTAAGTACTTGTCATGTTACAGGAAGATTCTATCTCGTAAAACCTTCTGTTAATCTACGGTAAATATTTCTTTGCGTTCATTTGATTCATTAGCTCAGAAAATTAAATTATTTCTCTTTTGAATACAATATAATCTCTATAATTATTCGCTAACTACCTGTTTAATTAACTATAATTTAAATAATGTTCCTTTATATATTTTTACTCCACATGTACTCACCGACTAATATATGTTTGTTTAGACCTAATTGAACGTTATATAATTAACATAATTGGCCTTCTAAATGCTATATTTGGTAAAACTATATACCGTTAAACGTTAAAATAATGAATAGATACACTAATAGCTTGTCTGTTTCGAAGCGACCAATTGCACAAGGAAAGCTGCATTAATAGAAGATAAAAATGATGATTAACCTTACGTATCACAAACTACTTTCGATAAATTTGCTAGTACGTAAGATACCTATATATTGAGATTGGTGTGAAATTAGGATAATTGTCATAATTTCTACCAAGGCCAATTTCTGCGATAAACCAACAAAGTTTGAATATATGTATACTTTTATCTATTATAACTATGTACTTAAAACTTTTTATTTTACCATAATTTCATTTGTTCATTTGTTCTTCAGGCACAACATTTTCAACGTAACTAACCAATATCTCTTACTCTCTTTGCTATTTTGCGTCCATAACTGGAAATAAGCCTCCTTCAGTATTCTGTACTTCCACAAGGAAATTGCGGAAAAGTAAGTGCTGAAATACTACAGTTTTTGGGAGAAAATGGAATTAAAGCTCTGTGTAATCTCTTTAACAGAATTTATGACACTGGGATATTACCAACTGATTGGTTAAAGTCGACATTTGTCACAATACCTAAGAAACATCGTCCAAAGACATGCGGTGATTATCGGACAATAAGTCTGATGAGTCACGTTTTGAAAATCTTTCTGCGAGTAATACACAGCAGAATTTACACGCTGTTAGAGGACAGAATTAGCAATACTCAATTTGGATTTAGGAGTGGCTTGGGTACAAGAGAAGCCTTGTTTAGTATACAGGTGCTAGTACAGAGATGCAGAGATATAAATCAAAATGTGTATATTTGTGCAATCGATTTTGAAAAAGCTTTTGACAAAGTCCGACATAACAAAATGCTAGAAATATTGCAAACAGCTGGATTGGACGATAAAGATCTACGAATAATTACAAATCTATACTGGCATCAAGTGGCAAGAATAAAGGTTGAACAAGAACTGTCGGATGAAATAAATATAAAAAGAGGAGTGAGACAAGGCTGTATATTGTTGCCTTTACTTTTTAACTTATATTCGGAGGAAATATTTAAGGAAGCCTTAATGGAGACAACCGAAGGTATTATTGTGAATGGAGTAACCGTCAACAATATTAGATATGCCGACGATACCTTAGTCCTTGCCAATTGCGAAGAAGACCTTCAAAATCTAATGAATAAAATAAAACAGACTTGTGATCAGTATGGATTAAAACTCAACGTTAAGAAAACTAAATATATGATAGTTAGCAAACAAAATTATATACATGATGACGGTATAAAAGTCGGAGATGCCACACTGGACAGAGTAGAGAAACTCGTGTATCTCGGCAGTAATATCAATGAGAGCTGGGATCCAACCGCAGAAATTAAAAGCCGAATAGAACAAGCCCGAGCTGCCTTTGTAAAAATGAGAAACGTACTTTGCAGTCACGTTCTTAGTATTGACCTTAGAGTTTGTATGATATCTTGCTACATCTTTCCTGTCCTGCTGTATGGAGTAGAAGCGTGGACCCTAACTGAGGCTATGCTTAAACGCTTGACAGCCTTTGAGATGTGGGTATACAGACGACTACTGAAAATAAGCTGGGTCGACAGAGTTAGAAATGAGGAGGTCCTTAGACGGCTGAACCAAACAACACAACTGGTCAATATAATAAAGAAACGCAAGCTGGAATACTTCGGTCATATTATGAGACACCCTAAAAAATATGATCTTTTACATCTGATCATTCAGGGAAAGATCCAAGGTAATCGTGGTCTTGGTATAAGAAGAACATCATGGCTGAAAAATCTAAGGCAATGGTATGGAAAATCAACTACATCGTTATTTAGAGCTGCTGTCAATAAAGTCACGATAGCGAATATGGTAGCCAACATAATATCTAACGATCGATAACGGTCATGGAACTAGAAGAAGAAGATAATGTTATATGTATAGTATATGTATAGTATATGTTTACTACAAAAACATATACACACATGTCCAAAAATTTGGAATACGTACAAATAATATATCTACGCCCATGGTGAGTTTAAAACTGTTGATATTCATTCTAGTGCTTTTTTAAATAAAAATGATAAAATGCCTTTAAAAATGCCTAGAAACGTGATATGTCATTTTGACAGATCTAGAGTAATTGCTTGTTACAACAGGGCTTTAGTCAAAGTTATACCGCGAATATTGTTGATGTTACTCAGAGTGCTGTATCGAAAATAAAAAAAAATTCCAAGATTAAAATGACGTCAAGGATCGTCCCAAAAGTGGTAGAAGTCGATGTACAACAGCAGCACAAAACCGGCAAATAACATTGATAGCTCGTAGAAATTGGTACTTTATTTGTAATTATATCAGTCCAAGTCTCAGCTCTATTTAATAATATTGAAAATATATAACATCGAATGGTATATAGTCTGATTTCCAAATTAAGATTTCGCCACGTTAGGAGTTGCTTCATTAGTATAAAAGCCGATCTGGCAATCTGTTTCTGTTTATTTCTGCAGTATGATAATTGGTTTTATTGATCAAAGTTCCCAAGTACTGATAGTTTTCTACTTGTTCTATTATGTTACAATTTATTGTCAACATGTGGTGCATATTTAGTGATCTTTTTGTATTTAGCATATATTTCGTTTTTTAGCGTTTATAGTAATTCCCATTACAGCTCTATTACTACTTAAGCTTTCGATTAGATGTTGTAGGTGTTATATGCTCGTTGTTTTTCGGTAACCTCCGCTTTGATATTATTTACCTCCTTTTAAGTTAAACAAAAGTGGCAATAAAACGCCTCCCTGTCTAACTTCTCTACAGATTTTGGAATTGCGGTTGCTAATGTATTACACAAATACGACGGTAGAATTATTTATTAATTTAGTAACTATTAAAGGTTTATTTAAAATATTATATGTACTTACAAACATTCCCCAGGATTTTCACATTTTCCATGAATTGGGTGGCAACCCGGTTTACAAGCAGCTAAAATAAAACAAACCAAATATAAAAAAGGTAGTTCAAAATAATTTTTAATAGTATTTTTTTTCAAGGTATAAAATGGGATAAATATTTTGTCTCAAGTAAAATTTTATCTCAAGCAACAGAAGCAAAAACCTTAACAGATCATCCCGCTGTATACATCTTAGATGAGCAAAAAGTCTCAAAAATAGCTTATTCATATTAAAAACACCGGCATATTCAACCATTTTAAAATAAAATAAATATACATATAGAAATAAAGGATATAAAATTCAGTATTAAGAAACATTTGCGTTAAATCAGGTCAATAATGCATCCACATAATGTCCACATGCATGATCACTCATATCAGCAACTACTGACAAAAAAACAAAAGAATATACAATCAAATAATAAAAGCAAGCCAAAACTGGAAATTATTTCAAGGTTTTATAGGAGTAAATAAAGGAAAACCAATTTCTTTTTAACCGGAGTCAAATTCATTTTCGGAATGACCTTGTTACCACTGTAAAATAAGCAAAGAAGAATAAATACAACATAATGTTTATAAAAATTAAATCAGAGATTTATAATAATTGGAAAACGTAGTTAAAAAAATATAAACTACAATAGGTAATTCTGCGAAGGAAATCCAGAATACAAAATAAACAGTGTAATTTGAAGAATATAAAGAAGAAACACTTTAATTCCTGCTTCAAATGCAATTAAAAACTAACATCAATGTAATAGATGAAACCTATTAAACATAGATATATACTGGTAAGAAATTTGTAACATTTAACAGACCAACACTAAGAAGTATCCAGCTAAAAGACTATTAAAAAGATGTTATATGAAATAAGTACAGACAATAAGTACATTTATACAGCAAATTACTGCAAGTAATAAAATCAGAATAACTTCCTACCTTTCTCGCATGTCGCTCCTTTCCACCCATCTATACATTGCTTCTCACCGTTCTGATCACAGATAAAATGACCGAAAGAATCGTTTCTTGGTCGGCAAAATTTTGTACACGTGGAATTGTAGTAATGTGTATCACATATGACGCGCACTCTGTATGTCAGTCGTGCACGAGGTCCTCTATGGTTAAGAGTATGCCATTCCGGACTGGGGTCTATAATACCGGAGTAGGTGGCTTCTTCAATGATGTTGTTGGTTGCTGAAAACAATAACACTTTATTAATTTTTGCACATACAATATATATTATAATAATTATTAATGGTTATTTATACAGCGATAAGTACGATAAGTTACGCTCAATTTGTCTCATTCTAGCATTCCTCATGGTGTCTCCAGACATTTTTAAATGCCAATATATTTACAATTTGAAAACAATATATTCGTTGTCTTATTTTTTTCTTGTTCTTATTTGTTGAATCAACATAAAAATAAAAAAAAACATTGATCCTTTACATTTATGTGGAGTAAAAGCATTTACTCGTTAGGAATGATACCTGGATATTATAAACTATCTTATGTCAAGCTGCAGAGTGCAAGTGGTTGACTCTGCAAGTGCAGATCATCTATTGTTCAATTTGATTAAGGATAAAATAATAAAAAAGGAAGAACTAAAAAAGGATACCAATTGAGGGAAAAAGAGCTTAAAATAATCTGCTGCGCAGGTGACGCATTACAACCCTCTCAGAGTTAGGATGATATACAACGTATACTGCACCAATTTAACATTACCGCCAGAAAACTTAACATGTTAATTTCTCCAAAAAAGAAAAAATGCGTGATAACAACAAATTTATTAAGATGTAATCTGGAGCTGAAAAGTCAGATAATAGAACAAGTGATGGAGCATAAATATCTAGGCATCACATTATCTAGCTACGGAAAATTCGAAACAGAAAATCAAGTAAATAGAGCAAACAGAGCCGCAGGTGGCCTGAATGAAACAATATGAAGAAATAAAAATATCGAAAAGAAATGAAAGGCAGAATTTACAAAACAGTCATCAGACCAATAATGACATACGCGGCAGAAACACGAGCTGACACAAGCAGAACAAAAAGAAAGAAACAGCAGAGCTGAAAACATTTAAAAAAATTATAGTAAAACACTATGGAACAGAGCAAGAAGTACAGATATACGACGTAGATGTAAGGTGAAGAACATCAAGGACTGGGTAAGAAATAGAAAGGTAGAATAGAACCATCATATAAGCCGAATAACAACAAATAGAGTAGTAAAGACGGCAAGAAACGATGAAACGACAACTTACTGAAGGCACATTGAAAAACATACAGTCATGTCTACATAGAAAGAAAAAGCAGAAGAAAAAAGCATAAGAACAATAAAAAGAAGCAGAAGAACAAGAAAAAGAAAAAGGAGAAGAAAAAGAAGCAGAAGAAGAAGAAAAAGAAGAAGGAGAAGAAAAATAAGTACATACACTAATAGCAGACCAACCTGATAATAAAGTTTTATAAGTTTAGGAAAATCTACAACATTTATTACAAAAAAAAGAGTCGAGCATATTATTATTATTGAATGGTAATGATAGAGGTCTAGAGGTGACAGACCCAGGTCAAGAACAAAATGGTTCATAAACAAATGGTTCAAAATGTCATATTCAAGACTTGAATACATGGAAATTAAGAAATACCAAGACAATTTTCGAAACTACATTAGAATATATATATATATATATATATATATATATATATATATATATATATATATATACATATATATATATACATATATATATATATACATATATATATATATATATATATATATATATATATATATATATATATATATATACTGTACCACGATAAACCACAAAAAAATAAAAAGGGTGTAAAAACGATGCGATCTTCGGTCAGGTCAAAATTTACTTGCAGCTAAGTTTGAGTTTTCGCTGAAAAAGTTTCATAAAAAACAAGACAAGAAAACATGCCATTACTACAAAGACAAAATATAAAAAGAAGGTACTACAAGAACATGAATGAAAATTGTAAAAGCATAAAAGCAGCAATTCAGAAAGATAGCGGAATAGAAGATTCAGACATGTAACGTGCTAGAAATTATATTGGATCAAATAAATGTTAAATACTCTTGATTGACCAAAGATATTTTACTGTTAATGGATGGAAGAAGACAGTACAAGCACAAACATAACAAGGAATATAAAGAGATACATAGATTGCTAAAAACAAAAATTAAATTAAAGCAAAAAAAAACAGGAGATGACAGGGATGTATGAAAAACTTACTTATACAATTTTTACGGAAGATTTCATGACAGAATGATTCATAAGAAAACTACAGAAATATTCGGAATAAGCAATAGTAGAACTAATAAGAGCAGAAAAAAAAATGTTAACAAAGTCAAACAGTCAAATGATAAATGAGAATAATGGGTTGAAACGAAGAGGTTTTATGGCAAATAAGCGTGGATCTAGAACTTTAAGAAATAGTAAAAAAGCAAAAAACCACTCATCTTATATACGACACGAAGATATAACTTCTTAAAGCTGATAATGGAAAGACCAATTGAGGGTGGACAAGGTCATGGTTAACGACATATGACGTAGCTAAGAAATTGGTTTAGTCTTCCGGTCACTAATAAGAAAGACCCAAGACCAGAAAGAGTTTGCAGAAGAAGACGATTGTAGAATTACTGTAAATATCAGAAAGAGCTTAATATTCATTATACAATCTAGTAATATTTTACCACTTTTTGTGGAATGATAACTTGCATTCTTTTTATTTAATAAATCAAATGTGAATTTTATTATGCAAAATAAAATTATGCAAAATTATAATGCAATAAATTGATCATAATATTGACCATCTAGAGACCGCTCGCGCCGTTGAATTTATACACGTACAGTCACAACGTTAAATAAAACAAATTGAAGGAGTCCCGAGCTTAACTCCTCATTATTCAAATCTAACTAAACCGCGGGAGAATCACATTCATTTCTCCGACACCATCCAACCACAATAAAATCCCTCGATAGCGTGGGCACTTCGAAATGATTCATAGGAGCTTGCATGAATGAACGCACGACTGTCCTAAGGGTGTGTTTTGTAGTCTATAGTAGGAGGTTTTATAAAACGATTGCGAGAGAGCCGACTGCCAATTATGGATGTCCCAGGGCAAGGACGAAACCCATTTCTGGCATACGCGTGCTTTTGTAGTGGTATCTTCTTTTAAGGATGTATTTTTTCATGACTGCCGAACGAAGGCGACAGTAATTGTTCTTTTAAGGGCGTTGGAATTTCATTCATAAAATCATGAATTACGCCGTGTAAGTAGCACTTCTGCTGGTGGAATTGTTTCTGTTTTATGTCGAAATATTTCCTGATCAATTGGGTTTTACTAAATAATATATGGGACACAATACAAGATGACAAGAAACGCGATAGATAATAATACTAGAAACATAATTTTGCCTATCAAGATCAATTTAACGCCTGTTTTAATAAGGCAACGCACGTTCTCATACGACATGGATTATTACAATGTTACAAGTTTACACTATTACAAATAATGTGATATTTTGTTTTAGTGGAAATGAACTAAACCTTCTGAATAATTTACCCCAATCAAAAAATCACCTACTTGAGATCCGTTACCAAATTCAAGAAGCCTTGAATGACATCCGTCAATAAAACTAAATCATTTAATTTCAAGTATGTCTAAATCAATATTATTAACTAAGCAAGAAACCACGACAAACAGACTCATTTTTATATAAATTTGTTATTCTTAAAGACCCTTCTTGAAATCGTGCCCTTGTCTGTACTCAGCGCCCCAAAAAAATAAAATATTTTTTTAAATTCATTACCCATTTGTTTTAGATTTTATAAATTAAAATTGATCATTTCCATGTAATATTATTTATAATCAAACTATTTGTATAGCCAGAATTGAAAAAAAAAAACTAAAAAAATAAGATTAATAGTCAACAATAAAAATTTACTGATGAAAATAATGAAACCTTGAGGAGACCTTTGCGAACCAATAAATAATGGACCTGTGACATACATCACCATCTGGATGATCATTGAATATAGAAGGCTGTAGTCCAAGATGAAATCTATAATCTTGCATTGCGCAAAAGAAATTATCATAAGGGCTTTCGAACCGAAGCGAATCAATACTTTCGTAAAAAATCAACCGGTCATGAGGATGAAAAATCCTAAGATAGACTATAGCCTAATTTTGGAATGAAAAGAAGAAATTGGCAGACTAAAGGAACATAACACTGTGTCATAATGTTATATGTTCCAAGACAACAGGGACTAAATGGCAACAGAAGAACTTGTCAGAAAAGGTTCAGCTACAAAATACTTCGTTCCAGAAGTGCCAAAAAGCACCATCAGTGGCCGGCAAAAGTCTGGATCCGAACTCTCACAGTTAAAAATACATCAGATCAATTACAAGGCAATATGTACATTGGATCGACATGTGCTAATATGGCTGAAGTACTGCCGAAAATAAGCAAGAATTAGTTCAGAGTCATAACAGGCTTCTTTATTTGACAGGCACAAGTTAAAGGATACCATCTTACACAGGTGTTCTTTCATGGAGACTTAAGCTGCAAATTCTGTACCTTAGAACCTGAAACAGTCAGACATGTTTTGCATAACTGGGAGGTATTAGATCGCAGGCGGTTAACACTTTTTGGGACTACCAACCGACTCCAAAAACTCATGGTATCCACTCACTAGACATGTACAAACTGATGCCGGGTTCAAGAATTTTAGAATGTGTATTATGAATGAATGGAGGCTGTACTATACGCCAATGGTTTCTCTAAAGAGGACTTGGCTGTGGACACTGTTCCTGATTGAAGAAAATCGTTGATTGGGGAGGACTGGATTTACACAGACTCGTGGGAATGACACAAAACCGTTTGTAGAAACAAGTTTGTAGATATTCTGGCTAACCTCCACTGATGGAAAAGTCCAATGAAATTGAAATATCTGGGAATAAACTTATCAAGCGATAATAACATTAAAAAGGAAGTAAGAGAACAAGTGACAATAGCAATCAGAGTAGGGAGATGCCTTAACACAATATGGGGAAACCATATTGAAATCGGGAACAAATGACAATGTAAAGATGTACGTCGCCTCCGTCCCACCAGTAGTTCCTCCTCCATCGACGTGCACTACAGATGATGGAAGGAATACGAC